ATTCAACCTTTATTTAGACAGGTTAATCCCATTAAGCCTCGAGGACTCATTTACAAGAGAGACCTGATTTTAACAAAGAATGATGACGACAACAATAGACAATCATAAAAGAGGCATACAGATTTTGTTTTATTTTATTTTTTTATGCAGCCACACGCCAAACTGGATGTCAGCATGTTGCTTTTTTATGGGGCCAAGATGAGGTAGAGGTAGGGCAGCAGACCTGGGACCAGAATGTCCCAGGTTCAATCCCCAGCCATTCCCACATGTCTTGGTGTCTCTGACCAAGACACCTAATCCCTAATTTCTCCCCAGGTGTTTACATAGCTGCCCACTGCTCCACCTGGGTGTATCCCAGGTACGATGGGTTAAATACAGACAACCAATTTCATAATTGTATGGGAACATATAGTGATGACAACACATAGCACCTTATTTTTTTATTTTTATTTTTTCAAATTTCCAGCTCACAAAGTTTACATATATGGTGGCAGCCATCTTGGATTTTGACTTAGCAACCCGATATTTGACAATTATATTTCTTATTTCTAGATGTAGCAACACACCAAAAGGTATGTCGCTAACCTCAGTTATTTTTAACTTGTCATGCTCACAACATGGCAGACACACAGTATTTCCAACTTCCCCTCTTTGCTCCATGACAGGGGACAAAAATGTATGTGTGTGAAAAACATGTCCACTTTTGCTGCTACCATGAGATTTAGGAGGGAATGTATCCATTAGGGGGCAGCACGGTGGCGCAACTGGTAGAGCTGCTGCCTCTCAGTGAGCAGGTCCTTGGTTCAAGCCCAGGTACAGGGGCCTTTCTGGGTGGAGTTTGCATGTTCTCTCCGTGCATGCGTGGGTTTTCTCCGGGTACTCCGGTTTCCTCCCACAGACCAAAAACATGCATGTTAGGCTAATTGGTAACTCTAAATTGTCCCTAGGTGTGAGTGAGAGAGTGAACGGTTGTTTGTCTCGTTTGTCTCTATGTGGCCCTGTGATGGACTTGCGACCCATCCAGGGTGTACCCCGCCCTTCGCACAGTGATTGCTGGACATGGGCACCAGCGACCCCCGTGACCCAAAATGAAATAAGCGGGTAAAGATAATGGATTGACGGATGGATGTATCCATTAGGTGCTGCTCATCAAATGCACCTAAATAAATGATCATCTGCAAATGTGAGCAATTTTATAAAGTAGGAGTTTTGTCAGTCTTAATACACGTGTGTTAACACACAGTCAGGATGGAAAGAAATCAGCAGTGACCTTAGCGAAGCAACTACTGCTCAGTCGGGAAAGTGTTAAAAGTAACTGTTAAACCATTTGGACTGCATGATTGTACAGTAAGAGATTATTAATGAGTGGATAATGTTTAGGACTGCTGCCAATATTTCCAGCTGTGGACGTCCAAGCACTCATTTCAGACTATGAGGTCCACAGTCATCAAGGTAATGGTTAAAGATCATGAGAGCACAACTAGAAAAAGACTCAACTAGTACGACTTGTTTGGAAGGGTTCCAAGAAAAATCCTCTTCTCTCTAGAAAGAACATGGCAGCTTGAATTTCCTGCAGGATCAATAAAGTTTTACCTTATCTTCCATCCATCCATTATCTTTACCCGCTTCTTCCATTTTGGGGCATGGGGGTCGCCGGTACCCATGTCCAGCAATCACTGTGTGAGGGGCGGGGGACACCCTGGATGGGTCGCAAGTCCATCACAGGGCCACATAGAGACAAACGAGACAAACAACCATTCACTCTGTCACTCACACCTAGGGACAATTTAGAGTTACCAATCAGCCTAACATGCATGTTTTTGGTCTGTGAGAGGAAACCAGAGCACCTGGAGAAAACCCACGCATGCACAGAGAGAGCATGCAAACTCCACCCAGAAAGGCCCCTGGACCGGGGTTTGAACCAAGGACCTGCTTGCTGAGAGGCAGCAGCTCTACCAGTTGTGCCACCATGCTGCCTCTATCATATCTTATCTTATCTTATCTTAATTTACTTTCTAATGTTGAATTTGAAACAAACAAAACAAATTTGACTTCTCAGACAACATTTCTTGAACTGCTTAGACTTAAGTAGAGCAGTTTATAATGCACAGAAAAAAGTTGGTTAAAACCAAGCACAACGTTCTACAAGCTGTTGGATCATGAGCTGGACCTAGACTTTTTTACTTCAGCTTCATTTTGGTTTAACAAGTAATGATGTGCTGGAATCTGTTGTGAGTTTTCGTTCACTTAAAGTTTAAATTTGAATCATTTTAGAAGCTGCTAAAGAACAAGACTATTTTCTTATGCCCTGGTACATAAAACCTAAGATTTGAAAGTGGGTGGACTTTCTTTTGTGTGTGTATGTCTGTATAAAGCAGGGGTGCCCAATATGTTGATCTCGATCTACTGTTTGATTGCAAATGTATTATGGGTATTGCATTAAAAAAAATAGATGCCAGCCATCCATCCTCATTATGAAATTTGACACTTAACTGACAGACATGGCTGCCAGTCTGAATCCCCGTTTACAATATGTCAAACTGCAGCCCCTGTGCTGCAGTTTGTCCGTTCATTTACAGACAACAGCCTCATTCTCTCTGAAACCGAAGGTTTCTGAGTCCAGGTCTCAGGGTGTAGATTTTTTGGGAAATCTCCATAGGGTTGTGAAATGCACCGCAAGCGTGAAGTGGCACATGCACACTACAGGTAGCTGCAGTCCACAGTTTTTCTGAACTAACGACAGTTATAATAATTAATGACAGTTATAATAAATAACAGCAGTTATAATAAATGACAGAGAGCAGAGAGTTTTTATGCTGCTCATTATTTTTCAGCATGTAGGAGCAAAACTAATAAAATCCAGGCTCCAAAGAGACGTTAGTGGGTTCACCAGTTTGAACGTAACTGTGATCATGCAGACGCTGCATTTTTTTCATTCAACCTT